CTTTTTACTTAAGTATCACTGCTTGATGCACATCCTGTAATCTTTGTACCTTGACAAGAATTCCATATTTTCTTGAATTACATCAACATACTTTATATTAAAGGTTTTTTTTATTGAACAGTTATTGAACTGTTAAAGCCTTGTGCTCCAACCCGAGCCCGCAGGTCCACACACCAGAACCTTTTAGAAGTTCCAAAGACCAGATACAAAAGTCGAGGTGATATCTCCTTCCAGATTGTTGGACCCCGACTCTGGAATGGTCTTCCTTCATCCTTATGCAGCACTGACAGTCTGAACCATGGACGTAGATGGGTGGGGGGGGGGGGGGCACATCCCCCCCCCCCACCCCCCCACCACCACCACCACTTTTTCCAAAGTCAAGTTTTGACCCCTGCACTTTTTACCATCCAAAAACAATATTACGCTATATTAAATTGACACTGGTTGAGCTCTAGGACCAAGCGGAAAACAACCGTTTGTGTTGAAGCCTGTTTCCCATTAGAACATACTGTAAAGCTGCTTTTACCTAAACCTTTTACTTTCTTATTTTTAACTCAAAATTTTAATCTTTCATATGTTTATGAAATTAATAATTTAATGACTTTATTATTTCTGATGTAAATCTGATTCTGTTTTGAGAACATTTTGATTTTATGATGTTAATCTATTTATGACTTTGTTTTGTTTTGTTTTGATCTATGTGAAGCACTTTGTGATTCTATGTCTGTGATAAGTGCTATATAAATAAAATTTACTTACTAACTGTATTAAAGTTATTTTTATTGAACAGCATTTAAGTTATTTATTAGGTCAAATGTCATAATTAGTTCATTAGTTAATTTTTTTTATTATTATTATCATGTTTCAGATTGTAACTGAACACTCAACAGCTAGCAGCACCAGGAGAGCCCTCACAGGGCAATCCCTCAGCGGCAGCCAGTGACATCATCATTCCGAGACGCTATGAGTCAGGGATGAAATAGAGATTTAAAAAAAGAGTCTGCACTTGGGACGAAAAGCATAAAGTAAACTGAGTTAGGAAAAAGAGGAAACGGGCTTAATGGAATAGCTGGAGGAGTATGTGTTGTGGAAGGGCCATGCTCGACTGTGCGTGGCGTAACACTGACTGCTGAGCCCGAACGGTCACTCGTATGACACGTCTGATGTGGCCCAGCCCCTACTATTCATCCCCTTTGTGGTGCCGCCACACTGAGCAGCGTGACAATGAAGTGCAAAGCAGCAGTGGCAAAGAGGGCCAACTATAAGGATGGCCAATCTACTTATGCACCCCAGAGCTGACAGCTTGACATTTCTATTCACCATTCAAAGTGGATGCGAGGGGGAAGAGATGAGAAATGGGGGGAGAGAGAGGAGGGATGGAGGGAAGAAAAAAAAGAGACAAAATGCTGTTTTTCCTTCAATCATCCTGTTGTATCTTGCCTACACAGTTGTTGTGCTTTACAAGATGCCACTCAGCTGTGTTGTTGGTTCTGCTTCCGACGGTTAAGCAGAATAGGGAGGTGCACTGGTAGACGCAGATAAAAGAATAAAAAGAGTGACTGAAGATAAGTGTTGGCAGCTGATGCACCTGTTTGGACACTTTAGGCTCCTCCTCGATGTACTTTTGTTCGATGGGAGTCAGCGTCCTGAGACCAGCCTTCACCTGCAGCCAACAGAAAGATTTTTAAACAAACTTGATAATCTCAACGGTTTTTCTGAGAGCGAGTGTAGCACATGCACAGAGCGTGCCCCACGTCAGAGGCGAGAGAGAAGCGAGAGACAGAGCTGTAAGATGGCCGCTGTAGGACACACACAGCGATGGTGAATGGGCGAACAAAGGCTGCTAAGAGGGAGTATTCGATAATTAAAGCCAAAACGAGGACGAGGGATGAGATGGAAACGAGAAAGGAGGGGGACAAACAGAATAAAGACAACAGCAGCATGGAGGGGGCAAATGCTGGGAGAACAAGAGAAGTATGAGAGTGAGGGGGATAATAAGGGAGGGGGCAAAAAGGAAGAAAAAACAGGGAGTTTTTTTTTTAAAAAGCTAAAGAAAGACTTACAGCATTAAATATCACGTCTATTTCGAGAAAGATGACCCCTTTTGTTGGCCCTGTCAGCTCCTTGCTTTTCAAGGCGTAGGCTTTGCGTTCTCCATTTTGGATCTGTGGGAGAGGGACATGACAGGCGTCTGTCTGGCAATACCCGGCTGAATCGGCTCCCCGGGCCACCTTTGAACCCCAGCTGCTGGCGCTGACAGGGAGCCCAAAACAACTGTGGCAACTCTGACAAGTACCTGTTCATTACCCACTGCAGCTCGGCTCTGTCAAACAGAAATTAACTATCCTGGGGAATCATACTGAGCTGCAAAGCACAGATGTATGAGACACACCGCTCCTTCTATCTATACTTTTACCAAATATAAGAGACGTTCTTTCTTTCTTTCTTTCTTTCCTTCCTTCAAGTCACATCTTTCCATCTATCAACGTCATTTTCATCTCATTGACTTACTTATATAATCCCGGCTTTTTGTCACTGAGCTTTTCCTGCATTTCTTCAACTTCCTGTCAACTCTCTCTTTGAGAAATAATAACGGTGTCATCAGTAGAGTTGCAAAAATAACCTCTGCTTTTTATATCTTCTGTTTGTATTTGTTCTGTTCTTCTGCTTTATTTTCTTTCTATTATTCCTGAGGGAAGCAGAAGAAGGAAAACACAGAAATCTGCCTTAGACTCACATTTAGTAAAGGGATGGCCACTTTCCCCAGGAAGTCTGCACTTCTGTCTCGGTCCTCGTCGTAAACTGTGACCTCAAGCACTGAGTGGATGTCCTTGATGTTACTGGAGCACACGCAGAGAAAACAACAGTTATATGAATGGATGTTTAGAAAAAACAGTGAAACAGAAATGGTGAAAAGGAAATTAGATGGCACATTCCTAAGAAAGAAACGGTTGTTTGGTATATGCAGCCTTAGAAGAAAACATTAAACTATCATAAACATTATAATATTACAAGATACAGATCATGTGTGTTTGATGGAAGTAAAAACAAAAATGTGTGTGTGTGTGTGTGTGTGTGTGTGTGTGTGTGTGTGTGTGTGTGTTACGAGCTTAAAAATATGCAATAGTTTGACTTTTCAGTTAAAATGATAAAGATTTGGTAACACTTTACAACCCTAAGGGTCCCTTCTATAACAATACTTAAATAAACTAGAAAATAAAGTATTAACAACTGCTTAATACTAATGTTATTACTAAGTAATGCACTGCTGAGCAAAGGCCCCCTCATGGCCCCTTGTCCTAACCTTAAGGACACTTAATAGTAAACAATATCAGGAACGTTAATAAAGTGATCCTTTGTTTATTAATCTTTAATATTGCACTAAGTAACATTAATAAAAGGACCCTAATTGTAAAGTGTTATGCTTTTTTTATTTGACTAAAATATTTTTTTACATTAAATATATAAAAAAATTTATTAAAAAACCAAGCATTAAGCAAAAAGAAATAAATTACTTAACTATTGAGAAGTGTGTGTGTGTGTGTGTGTGTGTATATATATATATATATATATATATATATATATATATATATATATATATATATATATATATATATATATATATGAAAACTACTTTGAAATACATTTAAAAAATTAATTTACTAAAAAAAACACATAAGCACACACACACATACAATTATAAAAGTTAAATTGTGGTTCAGCACTGGAGCTCCGGTGTCAACACTCACAAAGTAAAGACCTTGTTCCACTCTGGGTTAAGGTTTTTGTAAACAGTGTGAGTCTGCAGTCGGTCGTTACTCAGCTCCACCACGCAAAATGGATCACTTTTGCCTGAAAACACAAAAAAAAAAACACACAACGTCATTTTCAGTAGGAGAAAACAGAAAGTTTGGTTGTGTTTTCTGAATTAACCCAGCAGGTTTAGCATATCTAGCACTGACGCAGTGCACCTTGTGTAAAATTGCAATTCCCTCACATTGAACTTATCATAACTTTAATAATATGATGTTTTCATGTTTTTAGCTGCAGATTGGTGCATATTAGACAACAGGACATCAGTGAAACAGCTGCAAGCCGGCTCTATCAAAACCCTGGGAACATGAGCAAGTAGCAGATAAGCTCCAGGACGTCTGTGCCCTGGGCAGTCGCAAACGGAGGAGCCGGGAGGGAGGAAAGCCGGTGAGGACTTTGAAAGTAAATGGTGGTGAGAACACAGAGGTCGGCACGGCTCTGAAGACCAGAGAACTTCTGGGTAGAAGATAAAAACACCCGAGCGTGAGGCATGAGGAACCACGGCTGGTGTGTGATCAGTGAGTCAGGAGTGAGCAGGTGGCAGCAAAGATGCAATGAAAATGAGACGGACAGAAAGAATAAAAGTAGGGGCTAATGATCAAAGGACAAAAACACCCTAAACACAGCAACGTTTCCACAACAACACATCATTTCATAGAGGTTGTTCAGTTCATAGTCATATTTTACATATTTACACAAAGTAAAATATTTCAAGAGAAGGCAAGATATCATTGTTTAAATCTTCAGATTAAAATAAATTATTAGAATTATATTAAAAATCACTTTGTTTAGCAGCTTTTCATGTTACCGATACTAAAAGTGTTGAGAGAAACTCCTCACGTCTGCCTGCCCACCTCCTTTCGATTTTCCTCAAACGGAAAATAACCCAACTGATCATTTAGACTTTGATCATGACGCTTCATTAGACTTTGTTCTGTTTTTATGCATATCAGTCTGAAAAGGTTTGGTCAGAAAGTGTTTTTCTTAAGAAATTTATGGGAAATCCATCAACTATGTCAACTTGCTTAAAAAGTTTAAAGATTTCAAAACTGCACCTGCCAGTGTGTGTGTGTGTGTGTGTGTGTGTGAGTGTGTGTGTGTGTGTGTGTGTCATTGATTGGTGTGATTTTCTTCAAATGTTGTGACAAGGGCAGGACATTTAGTGGGTGTGCACAGTAAATGTCATCGTGATCAATGCCCAGGCGTAGGTGGTGCCTTTCATATCTGTTTGTGGCTGCTCTATTGATCTCCGCTGTTTCAAGTTCATATTGACAGCCATGACTTCTGCGGCTGATACAAGACCCTCCTCACATCATCCATACGTGTTATTCTAAACTCAACGTCACAATTTCAATTGAAATACTTCCAGTTGTTTGGAATTAATTCAACAAAAAGTCACTTATAACCTAAAGAAATTACTATTTTATGTATTTGTAGAAAACTGTTTCAAATCATTCACAGCTTCTGTGTAGTAAATGATTCTAATGTCTTGTTCTCGTGAATCAAATCAATAATTAAATTTTAATGCAAGCAGCCAAATGAAGTCATGGAAATTATTTCCAGTTCCCCCAATCTGTTTTTTTCCCCCTCGAATTTTCTGTTTTTAATGACATGGCTGGATGTGTCGCTGCAGACAGCCAGTTGTTATTGGTGATGAACTTTCACCTTATTGGCCGCCTGCTCCAGAGGCAGCTGTCTTAACCAATTACACGCTCGTGTCTGAGCACCACTCAGCAATCATCCAGGTAATGCTCAATGGGAAGCTCCTCCCCCGCCCTTCTGTGTCCCGTTTCTGTGACACTGGCAGGCAAGGAGTGGGCTCGGATTCATCCCAGAGAGCTTTCGGATAAGTGAGGAGAATGAACCCACAGGCGAAGGCAGTGGAGTTCATGGGGAGTTTAAAGCTGCTTTCTGATTATTATTATTATTATTATTATTATTATTATTATTATTATTATTATTATTATTATTATTATTCAGGGTACATGCAGGATTCTCAAAATTAAATTTAAGACTTTTTCAAGACTTTTTAAGACATTCTGAAATGAAATTAAGACTCTATTGCAACAAACTAATAAACTATAAAATACTCATATTTTGTTAGGTAGAAATAAATCAATTTTTCAAACAAAACTAACAAAATGCAAAGCTTATTCAAATATGCCAAAGCAACAAAAAGATTTTTAAAAAGTTGATATTATGGCACTTTCATTGTTTTGAACAACTTGAGCTGTGAATACTGTTATTGGCAGCTTTTTAATAATTTGGGGGCAAGAAAGGTTACTGAAAAAATCAAAAGTACAATGTTATTAACATAAAAATAATAGAATGGAATAATCCTTGTTTTTCCCCTATTAGCTTTCACCATTTTCTCCTTGAATTGGCGAGAGACTTCACATCCACGGTGGCCAAAGTCACGTAGTACGGAAAAGCACGAAAACGGCTGGCAGAGACCTAAAAATTGGTTTATTTTATGACCTTGTCGGGTTTATTTTACATATACAGACTTATTTTAAATACACATCAATACTCACCAAATTTAAGACTTCACTTAATGGATTTAAGACTTTTTAAGACTTTTTAAGGGTCTTAATTTGCCTAAATTAAATTCAAGAGTTTAAGACTTTTCACAACCCGCGGATACCCTGCTATTATTTAGTTTAAACGTTTATGTCTGCAACATTCCTTTAATAAAGACAAACGCCAAATTTCCTACAGGTTTTGTCTCAAAACTGAGAGAAAATGAGTTTGAAGTACTGATGGATTTGCTGCTGCAATCATGTGTGTGTGAGTATGTTTGTGTGTTACTGTTGAAACGCTCGAACAGTGTAGCATCCACTCAGAGGGACAAGAGCTAGCACACAAAAGGGATTGTTGGTTTTAGAGACTATTTTCAGTTATCCTACTTGGGCTGGAGTGGAGCTACTCCACAAAAACACTCCAATTAGAAAGAGACGGCCAGAGAGGAGAGGGAGCGAGAAGCAGGAGGAGACGGTGAAAAAGGAGGGAGAGGAGATGTGCAGCATGAAAAAGAGTGAAATGGTGAACTCTCTCAGTCTGACTGACCTCCTCGCTCTGTCTCTCCCTTCCTTCTGTCTGTCTGTTCTTCTGTTCCTGTCTCACCTTGCTTCTGACCCTCTCTTGGTCTGGGTTGTTAAAACGGGGTGTTCATGTGGTGAGGGCTCTTGTGCGGCTCTTACTGAGCAATTGTTTCTGCCAGTGACACGCACAAAGAGAACCACACACACACACTCAGCATCAGACTCTAAACTGAAGTAAGCCATTTTAAAACAGCCTCTTTTGCCTATCAGTTCACTTACTGTATTCATCTGCATAGAGTGAGTGCCGGAGAAGGTTTTTTATGGAGTATTAAATTATTTACTGCTATTGACTTGAATGCACACTTAGATAAGCTTTGATGTTTAACTGCTGTGAGACCAGGAGATGCTAATTTATATACAGGCACACTGCTTAATTATATAAATAGCATATTTTCTATAAGACTTCATTAGATGAACTTAAATTGTTTCTACACAATGTTTATGTTTATGTTTATTCATTTCGCAGACGCTTTTATCCAAAGCGACGTACAAGTTTTTTTATTTTTATTTTTTTATAACCTGTAGGGCATGTTGTGATGTGTGGGGGAAACCGGAGTACCCGGAGGAAACCCACGCATGCATGGGGAGAACACGCAACTCCACGCAGAAAGGCGAGATTTGAACCTGCGACCTTCGTGCTGCGAGGCAACAGTGCTAACCACTGCGCCACCATGCAGCCCAATAAACACATGCAATATCAATATTTCAAAGGATTGCAACAAATAACAGATTATCAGTACTATGTTTGGTAAGCAGGTAAATCCCCAGAGCTGGTGGACACATTACTGCAGGGAATAACTCATAAGTCGCTTTGGACAAAAGCGTCTGCTAAATACAGAAACATAAACATAATAAAGGCAAGTATTGCAACATTTGATAATGTTTTCCTAATTTCTCACATTTTGCACAACTGAAAAATGCAAAAAGTAAAAGATTTAAAAGCTGTGTGGACAATACGTACTCTTCTTGATCATATCAAGAGTGAAAGAAAAAAAGAAAAAATTTTCCACATTTTTATTATCTTCCAGTTTCTAAAAAGAGTCCACAAACCTGCGAGTGAATGATGAGCTTTAAATCATGAGAGAATACATTTCTGCTTGGAAGGAAACACGTGAACCAGAGAGCCATTAGCCTTGCACTCTGACTGCTCCTGTCGCTCTCTGCAATAACCCAAATCAACCAGCTCCTCTCTGTATTTGCTAATGGGACTGTGGATGTTTCAAATAGAGAAAAACTCTATCTCTCTCACTCTCTACCACACACACACACACACACACACACACACACACACACACACACACACACACACACACACACACACACACACACCCTTCTCTCTTTACTAGATAATACAAAGTGAAAAACTAGGCCTGTCCACTGTAGACCTAATTAAAAGTAAGAATTAATGGAGAATAGAAGATTCAGAGAGAGCAAGCAGGGAGAGCACAGGAGGAGGGAGGAGAGAGATTTGTTGGTTCAAATGTGCACTTTTTCTCTATTATTCAAATGAGGAGGCTGCATCTTTTCTAAAAAGGCTGAGACAAATTTGGCATTGTGCGCAAAGTAAGACTTTACCTCCCTCTCTGAGGACTCACATACAAGATCGTCCTTTAAACTAAAATTGCATCCTGATTTATCTTAAGACACACTGCGGGTAAACAGGACATGTTCCGTGCCTGGTCCCCGATGCTGTCTGGACCTCATGTCATTGTCTTACCTGTGACATCTGCTGCCATGAGTCCCTCGGCTCTGATGACCTTAACTTGCACCACGCCAACATCTTTCAGGTTGTGGAAGGACCTCCAGAGGCTCTGCAACATCATGAGAGCAGGGGTGAAGAGTCAAAGAGGACAGCAAATTAGCATGGAAGTGAAAGGCAGGTCAATAACCTGACATTTCATTAAGAGACGAAAGGGTAGAATATGTCCTTTACCGCTCTTTATTTGAAAATGTAGAGCTGGCATTTATAGCCTGAGTCAGACAAAGGACAAATGGAGGGATTTAATTTAAACTAAATATCTGTTTGTTCTGTTGGAAATTTTCACCAGCTTTCATATTCTGAATTTTGAGAAGGATGATTTATGTTCTAAAAATATATAAAAATGCTGTTTTCCATCATGTTCTGTATGACAATGACGAAATGACAGCACAGGTGCTTCATTTGCATAAATCTGCTGTGGCTCCTAGGATCAATCGACTCCTTGTGAGTTAATCTCTGTAGAAAAATAGCTCTGGCGCTCCTGTTTCTGGAAGCAGAAGTTTGTAGTGGGGTGCAGAAGTCTTACTCATTAGTAATCACGGTACTCTGACATCTCGCCTCTGATTGGCTAACAGCAATGCAACTCTTCCGCTGCCTTCATTTGCTTTGCAACACTGATGTTTTAACTCCACAAGCCTGAAGGAGATCTGCTGTGTTGTGAAGCTGCTAATGCTAACAGTTAGCTTCTACTAGTCAAGATGTGCTCTCCTCTCTCCTGGAGGCGAAACCAACTGCAGCCTTCCCCGTTGTGATCCAAGATGGATGAGATCATGAATGCTAATTTTTAATGTGATGTAAGATTGACTAACTTTTTCTAATCTGAGTGTTTCTCTGTGTGTTTTTTTTATTGACGGCTAATGCAGGAAATAGGTGTAGAAGAGTGTTTTCATGCTCAGTTTGCATGTGAAACTCAGAGTGACTGATCAGGTCTCAAAAACAAAAAGTGGAAAATGGTTTCTCGATGAACTTGCTCTTTAACGTGTCCTTCTGCGACCACCTCACACGAGAGGAACTCTTAGAAAATTGTGTTATGATAACAGAGATATCATGGTGATTAGACAAAATTGGTCAAGCACGACTGGCAGTGATATGATAGTTATGGGGATAACACACTCACAGTGGCCTCCCGAGGTGCACCAAAGCTTTATTATTGTCCAAATTGAGAGGCAATATGAGTTTTTTAATGGTCATTGGAAAGATGGAGGAGGGTAAAAAGAAGGTGGCAAATTTGGTGAAGCAAGATCATGGACCTGCCGTAGCGGTATGGCGAAATGCTGACAGACACACAAACACTCCTGATTCAACCAAACACTGAGGTGTAAACACAAGCACTCAAAAAAATAAATAAACATCACTGAGGCCAAATTGAGTAGCATGCCGGCGTGTTTTAAAAACAGAGTGAAAATGCTCTTCACTTCAATTTATTTCTCTCTCTCTGGCAATAACCCCTTCCATCCCCACAGGAGTAATTATAATTTAAATTTCAGAGTCAGGGCCAGGCTACAGACTTAATTCATTATTACCAACTCTGTCAGACTCTGCCTGTTTCCAGCGATATCATTGTCCAAAAGCTCCCTAAAGAAGATGAGAGGGGGAAGAGTGTGTGTGAAAGAAAAAGAGAGGGAGAAAGAGTGTGCAAAAGAGAGACGTAAAGAGGAAAAGAGGGGACAACTCTCAACTCTCAGGCACAATTTCTCAGAAGATAGCCCTTGTTGTGATTATTGAGTTGGGAGGAGGACGTCATGGAGGGAACAGAAGAGGGCAAACTATTGGGCGACCAGTTTTGTGTGACTCTCCAAAGAGCAGCATTAGCATGCCCAGATGTTAATAATCCAGCTGTGCTGCCCAGGATGGAGTTCTTTTGGGAAAGAAAACTGTAAACGGTTTACATTTAGATAGATTTCATACAACTGTTGCCCACTTCAACGGTTTTCTGGTTAGGGTTATCAAATAAGATGTCAAATAAAATAATGTTTGCATGAAGAAAATCTAATTCTCACCTAATTGTAGCATTTTAATCAAATTCAGCTTTGGTAAAGCTCCTTCAATCATTATTTCAATTAATTTTCAGTGGATTCTAGTATTAATGAGAATTATTCTCTATCGGAAAATAAAACTCTGGAGCTCCTGTTTCAGGAAGCAGAAGTTAGCTGGAGGAGATGGAGTTTTACTCATTATAACCACCTGATGTTTGGAAATCTCGCCTCTGAGTGGTTAACAATAACCCCAGTTTCACACTGAAAGCATCAGCGGCGCAGAATGGCATTGGAGCCTTGCTGTGCCGCTAAAGATAGGATCGGGTTCGGTATTTTCCGCAAGCTGCTTCTGGGAAACATCAATTTCCACAGTTTACGTAGGGCTAGACAGGAAATCATACACAGTCATTTTCTAAATTAAAGTACTGCAGCTATTTAATATATATGAAGCTTACGTGTGACCCAACAGCTTATTTACTCCCAGTTTCGTTCCAGAAGTACAGTGGTGTGTTTTTCACGGCTTTAATCCTGACAGTGGAGAGGAACAACATCAAATATGACATCAAACTGCGATAACAAACGTGATTTCCTTCCATTTGGTTAAGAGGCGGAAAAACAAACCGTGACCTTTGAAGTCTCGAGGGATCTTGTGATCTCGCGAGTCCAGCGAAGAGCACAATGAGGAAGCCTTAACACGGCTAAGACTCACCTGGTGTGAAAAGGACCACGTTGAAGTTTTCGAGTAAACCGTTCCGCTGCCGTTTCGTAGCGCTGATGCTTCCAGTGTGAAACCGGGGTAACGCTACTCTTCCACTGCCTTCGTTCACTCTTGCAAATTTGATGTTTCATCACCAAAAATATATATATAAAAAACACACACAAGGCTGGAGGAGCTCTGCCATGTTGTGGAGTTGCTAATGCTAACAGTTAGCTTCTACTAGCTGAGACATGCTCTGCTGTCTCCTGGAGGACTTTCCTGTTTCAAGCCAAGACAGGTGAGTCCATGAATGCTAGTTTTCACACTTACGTAGATCTCTGCGGAGCCCGTGACATCTGCGTTTCCTCGCTTATCTTCTATCGGCAGGTTGTGCAGTAAATAGGGACAGAAGACTATTTTCATGTTTAGCCTGAGTGACTGATTATATTTATGGGCAGCGGTAGCTCAGGAGGTAAAGCGGGTTGTCCAGTAATCAGAAGGTTGCAGGTGTGATCCCGGCTCCGACCAGAGAATGCTTCCGTTGTGTCCTTGGGCAAGACACTTAACCTGCCTCTCTGCTGGTGGTGGTCTGAGGGACTGATGACATCTGCGTTTGACAGGCCTCGCCTCTGTCAGTGCACCCCAGGGCAGCTGTAGCTACATAGTAGCTCATCCTCATCAGTGTGTGAATGGGTGAATGTCTGATTGTGTTGTGAAGGGCCTTGGGGGGTTGAAGAACCCTAAGAAGGCACTATGCAAATACAGGCCATCTACCACTTAAAAACAAGTAAAAGGCAGTTTCTCAGTGAACTTGCTCTCTCAATTGCAGTAAAAGATTTTTCACTCTGTTTTGTTTTCGCTCTTCATCCCCCCCCCCCCCCCCCCCACACACACACACACACACTCTCCCTGAGGGGACATCAAGGGTTCACTTCATGATTGCTAGAGAGAAAACACCCATCCTCCACAGATCCTAAATGCTCATAAGACACCAATTCATAGGCTGGACACACAGGTGGGCAGACAGACAGATGAAAAGAGGTCAAGATCAGCACCCCTCCACTCGTTTCTCCCCACATCTGCACACAGGTGCAATGAAGGGGATAAGGAGGAAATGAAAAGGAGGGATGAGAGAGAGGGGGAACAGAAATGGAAGGATGGAGCTGGCTTTCATAAGAAAAACCCCTGCCCTGTCTGTGAGTGACAGCTTGTCACTGTGACATCTTCTTTCTGTCCCTGTCACACTGCAAAGACATATAAACACAAATGAATCAGAGCTGGCATGGGCTTATGACTCACTGTCATCTTTGCAGCATGTCACATTTCATCGCTGCTGCATCTCAGAAACACACACACGGAGTCTGCCCTGCAGCCTTTAAATTCAGGGGACGTTTGATCAAATGACTGTGAACGCTCAAACACAAAAGCTGCGGTGACCACGTTTTCCCTCCGACTGCATTCAGCTCTGCAAGCTGGTCCCACGCTTTACTACGGCTCCTCGCGGGTTCTCGCTTCTCGTCCAGGTAGTATCCTTTATGCCCCTCGCAGCAGCGAGTAGGTGAGTTATGAGTTGGCATGAAGGTGGGTGGAGAAGTGTCACCCCTTCAGTGGAAGGTCACCACGTCCTCCTCTTCTAATCCACCCATCTTGCGGCCACCTCAGTCCCATTAAGAGCCATTAGTGTGTGTGCTCCTTTGCCATCATAATGCATAAATCTCTTTCTCTCTTTTTTTTAACTTTCTGTCCTTTTTCTGGTTCTAGGGGAGCTCTAATTAGGGATGAAGGAAAGGTTACAGCGAGCGCCGAGAACATCTGAGGCAGTTATCTCAAAAGTGAGTGTATTACACCATGCTGGGTATGTAGACCTGTGCTATAAGCTGAATTCAAAAGCAATGTGCTGTGCATGCCATGCAGCCAGACATGCATCTGATATATCGGAGCTAGAATGAGATGGATATTAATGAGCTGAGCAGCAGATCCCAGCACTCAGGTGTCCGTCATCAGTTTTCATCAATGGTCTCAGATTGAAATGGGACAAATAACACCTGCCAAATTCAGCACGGCGACCTCATCACGGTCACTGGAGGTTTGCGTCGTTGAGGTGTGTGTGTGTGTGTGTGTGTGTAATAAAGTGGGGAGGACAATTCTAATGCTAAAACTCGAAAAGCCACTTCCCTACAGCCGACACACGTAGCTAGTGTTCTTGGATGCGTGTGTGTTTGCTTTTATGCTGCAGATTTCAAGCTGATAACATCAGTCAGAAAAATTGTGCGCGCACACACACACACACACACACACACACACACACACACACACACACACACACACACACACCCCTACACAAGCTGAGAAGATTAGCAGGTTTTCTGCAGCACTGTCATATATTAGTGGCGGTACTTGGTCTAAGCAGCGCTCTTTGATAAGGTACATCTTTATTAAATTCTCCTACTGAAAGACCGCCAGTCTGGGGAAAAGGAATATGTTAATAGGTAGAGACCATTCAAGTCTTCAAACTGACCTCGCTGTGCCCCTCCATCTGCAACCCCCTGCTTTCGTCCCCCTCTCTCGCTCTCTCTTTCTCTATCTTTCCATCCCTTCATCTAAAAACGAAGGGCCACAGCAGCGACAGACAAAGAGATTGCAGGGAGAGTGGGGCAGAAAATGGGGAGTGCAGGGAAAAAAGAAGAGGCGGGAAAAATAGGAAGGTGAAGGAAGTAAAATGTGTCGCCTTCAGCCGAGCAGAAAAAAAAGAGGGGGGTGCGCTAGAGTTGTGAGAGAGGTGAAATAGCTTTTTCTTTTTCATTTTACACGCCTTCCCTTCCCAGTGCAACCCTCACCCTTTACCTCTCGCCCCCTATTACACACATTCACTCAGATGCACACTCGTGCACCCGTTCTTTCCGCCCTTGTTTTGTGGCTGTCAGGAGAGGCGCAGCGTGGGTCTGTCTCAGTCTTAGAGCTCCCCCTTCTGATCCGAAGGAGGTGCTGCAGCGCGGGGCAAAGCGGTCGACCTCCTGTGGCTAGTCGACAAGGCCCCACCGCGGTGGTGCGGGTCACAGCTCTGATGTTTGACCACTCACACACTCTTGAGAGGTGCAAACACAAACCTGCAGGGAGGCACCAGATGATCATCTTAGACGGAGCCTAACACGTTCAAGCGGGTATGAGAGCATCACCTAACTCTTAAAAGACAGGGGGCTTTCACAGCAGCAGTGAGCAGGAGTTGGGTGGTCTTTGCAGTGAGAAGTGAGAATGATGGGTGAAGGGTTAAGGCAAAGATGTGAAAGCATTGTGTTGAGTGGAGGGCCTCTGGGGCAGATGGGGCCTAGAGCTCAAAGCTTTATGACGACTTGGTAACTAAGCAATATGCTTTCTAATAATTGATCTAAATGTATTAATGCATAACTCATAAATATCTGCAGAAACACTGTCATTGACCTTTGAAAACCTACTAAAGTTCTTCAGTTTCCGTTCCCTCCTTCAGTACTTTCTAGATATTACAGCTGCTAATTTGCTAGTAAGTAAAAATTACTAATACAAGAGGCTCCAGCAGCAAGTGGGAAAAAAATGGAAATACACAAATTTTCCACTTTATCGTCCCAAAGTCAAACACGCAGATCCCCTTTAATAAAACAACTCACATAGCGCTGCATGATCTGGTGTCTCTCGTGTGGATCGTCCAGCATGTTGATGGACAGATCTGAGATGGAGACGGCCGCGGAGGCGGTGAGTGTGACGAGCAGTACCAGAACTCCTTCACCTTCCTCCAGCTGCAGGTCCAACTTGTGCGTGTGTTCTTTGCTAAGAAGCGACAGGTCAACGGTGCACCTGAAACACACAGGGGAAACACAAGCTGCACAAATGTAGACCTGCTGGTTTCATGTTTAATTATAAATGACTGATTATTAAAAAATATCAGAAAATATGTGATTTCTCTGTGGAAACGATGTGTTTGTTTCTGTTTAATGTTCTCATTATGAACCTGTTATAAATCACACGCTGTGCTGGAGCAGTTCGATAGCAACCGGCTAAAAATAGTAAACAAACAGCACGTAGCAAGCATGGTGTGTAGGATGTAAGCTACTGCAGACAACTTAGGCTAAAGCTGACTCACTTAATACCTTTTAGCGGGCACTTAGAAACATCCATTCTTGACTGAATTGATTTTCTGGCGTCCCCTTTAGTGCATCTACAGTTAAAATGACAGGTCAATAAGAATGACTTCACATGGTTTCTGACGTGCCCTTCAAAGCAGCGGATTGCTAAAGTGGCTTTGAATTTGCACAGATATGCTTATGCATCGCAATAATCTGAGCTGAAGAGGAGGTTAAAAGGTAGCAGATTGGTAAAACGTTCCAACGCGACCAAGTCAGTGCAGATGAAAGACATTCTGTGCAGAAACAATCCTTATTAGGTCCCAAATGTCAAGTCAACATCTATTTTTATTTAAATAAAATACAAAAAAATGTCTCCACCTTCCCATGAAGTCGTCCTTCTTGCCTGCGTCTTTGTCCCAGACTGTGATGTCCACAAAGCCTCCTTGCTCTTCGTACAAGTGGAAATCAAACTGTTCCCTCCACTGGGGGTTTAGAGTTTTAGGAATCGTCTGAATAAACAACAGACAGTAATACACACATTACCCATGAGACTCATTTAATTGTAATTGTGAATTAAAGGTTCTACATAATGGAGCAAAACAAGGGTGAAAAAAGCAGATTTTTACTTATTTATTTTAATTCACACAGAAAGGTAAGATAAAAATGAACTGTGACAAAAGTGAATTAGAAATGGAAAAGCAAGGGGTGATAAGAAAGTCATTTATTCTAAACTTATTGTAACAGCAGGAGCAGTGAGGAAGGAAATCTGTAATCTGCTAAGATGTAATGCGTTTGTACTTGCGCTGGAAGGTTAAAACATGGATTGAGTTAAGTTTAAATGAGCATTAAAAGTCTGTCATAAAATCCCTTTAACAAGAACTCTGAAAGAGCAGTAAAGGTGTAAGCTGGTCGAGAAAATTAATCAAATCTGGTCATAAAATAGCACTTTTCTGAATTTGTTTGTAAGAGAGCTTTAGTTGTTTATGTGTTGACTAGAAAAAAACATTGGAAATGTTCCCAGCAGGGTGTGCACCTTGCTCTTGTACTTTTGGTGACCCATCCTGAATTTGGCATAAGGGTCGCTGAAGCCGTTGGCGTCCATCGGCTGAAGGCAGCGACCTTCAATCAGACTGATGCTGACTATACCTCGCCAGAGCTGGGCTTTTCTGTGCACATCTGACAGGCGCATGCTCTGATGCTGCAGCACACACACACACACACACACACACACACACACACACACACACACACACACACACACACACACACACACACACACACACACACACACACACACACACACACACACACACACAAACACACACACACACACACGTTCATTTACAAGAACATGTATTGATTCTAATATAGCACTGCAGACACACACATTATGCATTGATAAAACCCAACAAGAAATTAAGCTTTTTGCAGATAAAAGGCAAAATGCTCGTAGAAAAACATAATGGCAGGCAAAAGCAAAGATAAAACAACAAATGCATCGAACACAATTACCTCAAATCTGAAAAACACAAACATTTCAGAAAAAATACATTTTAAAAGGTTAACTCGGTTATTGTTTCATATTTGATTGTTTTGGAAGTTTACAACAGTTTAATCTGCATTTTGTTGTTTCAACAGAAACATCCATATCAGGATGTATACTTTAGTTAAAATATACATATATATTTAAATTGGTGGTCTTCCCAAGGGAGGGCCAGTGGGGTGGCCAGCAGGAGTTTCCAGGAGTGGCCATGGCCCCTCTTGGTCACCCCTTGGGGGCACCACTGCTGATATGTCAGGACAACAATATAAATTACAAAATATGCCTTATTAGTCAACATAAACCTAAAATGTTAAATAAAATACTCCACTTGGAAGTAATAAAGCTTAAGACTGGTGTTACTTTTTGTTACATCTGCTGAATCCTGAAAGGAATTCACATAATTATTTTGTGCAAAGGTAAAGTAATCACCAAAAATGGGAAGATCTGGAGACTCCAGAGGCTTTTACAGTAAATATCTTCACCTTTCTCCCATCTGTACTGAAAGGAGAACCAGCTGATTTCCCTCAGGAGTTTCTTAGCATTTAAAGACCCATCTAACCTCTTTTTGAACGATGTCCGTATCCTTCACCAGAACTTAAACCAGGGTTATTTATTTGTCAAAAAAAACTCAAATCCTCTCTTTGTCCCTCATTTCTCTCTCACCCCCTCTCTCTACCCCACTCTCTCCTCCATCCTTGTTAGGCAGGAGTGTATTAGCATAGCTTTTGTTTTGTGGGTGAATTTCATTAAACTCTGAACAAACCCTGCCTTGCAAGTGCAGGCCTTTGATCTGGAGATGCAGCCTCTTAATTTCCATTCTCCAGACATTAAACAATACGAACAGCTTCCCTGCAACAGTTTCCCGTACAGTAACTCCCACATCTTTCTTTTTTCCTGTTCACTTAACATGCAAAGGATGAGAGGTCAGCGCCGTGTCCTACCAAAGTACAATCCATATTTCCATGTTTTCATTGCTACATATATTTTGTTATGGAGAAATACTGAATTTGTACTGAGAATATATGTACATTATATCTGCACAGCCGCAAAGACGACATGAAAAATTATGTTTAGAAGGTAAAAAGCTTAAAAATACACACATATGATTTAATACCTAAAATAGCTTTTTGTTTTGTCATTTTAAAAAAGTAAAAATCAAGTATTTAGTCCAACTGATTTTGTCTTCTTAGGATGACATGGCAACTACTTAGATTTAATTTCCCTGTCACAGGTAGAGCAGCCCAGTTTGATGCCTTCAACAGCTTTGAGGAACCATTACGCATGAACGGCCTGCTGATGGATTAAAAAAAAAGTCTTCACAGTTACAGAAAAATACGTCTCCTCGTATGTGTAGGTCAGGATATAACCCTATTCGACATAAGACACCACAAACATGGCGTCACAGTTTTCAGCTCAAAACTGTCCTTGATGATAATTTTGGCACATTGCAATAAAATAAAACAGCTCAAGACTTCATGCATCAGCACATGGGAAGGAGAAGCTCAATCAACATGCTTCAATTTAAAAGGACGTGAAAAAGAAATCACTAAAATTACATTAAAAAGTAATTTTCAACTGAGAAATCAGGCTTATGTTAAAAACCAAAGGAATACAAATGGATACAAGAATCTGTCATCAACTAGTAATTAATGATTCTCAGCTATTTTTGCTTTAAGGTAACATCAACAGGTAAAAATCTCAGTTTTTAAATACATTATTCACATTACTTGCAAATCAAAGCACAGATGAAAGGAGGAATAATAACTTTTGTGGCCAGGTTAGTTTGTCTTCATGTTTTTGTACAGCACACTTAGACAAAAAAATGCAATAAAACACCATGTTTTTAAAAGATTGTAAAAAAAAAAAAAAATGTTTCTGCTGATAACCTCTGTCCACCCTTGATGTGTGTTCCTGACCCTAAAGTTTACCTGTAGGCTTCCTTGCACTGCAAAATAATAAAAACAGATAAATCAAACTAAAATGTGCATGCCCTCTGCTTGTGCAAACAGCAGCTTGTGGAAAATAAGATGGTGACAATAAGGACTAAAGAAAAAAAAGACAACAGGAGGTGAAGGAGGGTGGAGGGGGACTCCATCCATGAACCAGGACATCAGAGAGGAACAGAAGGTGAGGTGCAGAGTGGGAGGGTTGGTGAGTTACATGCTGTTTTAGTTTACCTTACTGGATCGTTTCCAGTTTCTCCCCAAAAGCATGGTCTGTAAATGAGACAAAGCGGTTACAGAGCGCCTCCCACTGTCTCCTCCACCAGCTGAAGGGCCAGAGGGTCAAAGGGCATGTGGCGTTTGATGCTCAGGTAAAATAAAAGCTCCGGCTTGGTGGTGCTGGTGGTGGTGGGGTGTTAGAAAAGGAAAGTTGGGCTTCATGCTAGTTAAGTAAGCAGTCATATGGTGTAGTTATAAAAAGACATGCAAAATCTCACACACACACAAAGACATTTGGTGCACAGCCAATCAAATCTGTGCTTTTCTTACACTGGACATTATTTGTAATGTACGCGTTTCGCTTCAAAACACATGATGTTTGGGTATTTTGCTTCTGTTTTACCTTATATAGTTTTAGATGGTTTAGGGTCTAAAATGAAATTAAAGAATATACATTTCAAAGCCACATAGCTTGTTTTGGTTAAACATTTCTTTCTTTTCAAACTGAAAGTTTTCCAGATGTTTTGAGACGTCTGCTAAAACCAACGTTTTCGAAGAAACCATTTCTGATTAGTACTTTGGTCATTGTTTTGGTAAAATACACAGAAAATAGGTTTAAGATTCAGTGTAGTGCACCCTGTAGGTTTGGAAGTCGGAGCTAAATGATTTAACAAACTAACACTTGCCTAGGAAAAGGGCAAGCACAAAAACCTGACTGAACTTCAATAAAAAGCATATATATATATAAACAAAACTTTAATAACAGTACTAATAAAAAGATGTGTGGCTAAAGGATTTGTACACTGCCGTTATATGTATAATTACAAATACACATAGGAAATTTTGAGAAAAGTCATATAAAAATCAACAAATGAGTGGATTTGAAACTGATGATTCTTTATATTTCTCCACTGAACCACTAGATGGCAGCAGAGAAAACAACAACCTACTCACTCTCCTCCCAATTGGAGGAATCCAAATGGCTGCTTAACCTAAATAGAGTTGATTTGTTCTGTCAAATGTGGACTTTCTGAACTACCGCGCTGAAAAAGCAACGGAATTAAGACGTCAGATCAAAAGGAATAAAATATGTCCCTCATGGCTCTGCCTTGTTCTGAGAAAAACGAGCAGGGGTCCAATAAGCCAAACAAATAATTGAACAGAAATAAATGCAACTTTCAAACATGGAGGACATCCACAAAGGCACAAGGCAACATAATTAGGAATGAAGTTCTGCTGCTCTTTGAACACAGAGCTGTTCTGTGCAACATAATAATTATATTTGTGTTTATGTGTTTGTTTTGCTGACTCTAGTTTCCAGTAACTGAGATTGAATGAAGCCAAGACTGTGTATACGTTATTCTGTTGCATAAGATGAAGATTTTATTAATAATACAAAACAACTTTAAATTATTTTTATTAAATACTCTGTTTTAATTGGTTCATGTGCGGTGATTAACACCAGAACAGTGGGATTTGGAGGAGCGATCCAGAGCATATCTGCTGCACACGAAGACATAAGGAACATTTTGCATGTGACATGAATTTCTTACAGCATCCTTTGTGTCCCCTTCCTTTGGTGACAGGGTGACAGACAGCTCCAGGCTGCCCAGGTTCTGTTCAGGGTACTGTGGGTCCTTCAGGTCCAGGGTCACATCCAGAGTCCTACAGAGAGACACATTCTACTATAAATGCAATCTGTACTACATACAGTACTTAACATCCAAGTTAGTATTACTGTTTGTATTTTATAAATCTGCTGAAGATTAACAAAACATTTAGCAAAGTAAAATTCACAGATATTTATCTCCAGAGCATGACATCCTATGCATAGCTACACCCTGGGTCTTGTCTGGTGTGGTAGATCTTGGCCTCTGTTGCTCTGGTGTTCCTGTGAAGCCACGATGAGTGCCTCTGTGCTGTCCTTCAGACCAGCTCTTTCTAGTCATTGGTAGGATTTCAGCTACTTCAGCTATCTGTCGGTGGTACATCCCATTTAGGGGTTTGTCCTCCCATGATGGTATTTCAACATTGTCTGAGACATCCACTGCTGGGGCCTTGTCCTTGATGTACTTATGGATCTTGGATGCTTCATCCTGGACAGTGGCTCTCCCACTCACTGGTCCTCAGCCTCCTTCCTTACGGCTAGCATACAGTCTCAGTGTGCTGGATTTGGGATGGATTCCTCCATGCATGGTTAGGAGCTTCCACGTCTTAACACCTGTGACCTCTCTATCTATCAATCTCTGCATAATATCTTTATGAAGCTTTCTAAAGCTCATTTAGTTCAGGACACTGAATCAATTTGGGCCACTTAGAATCAACGATCTGGAGCGGACTTTTTAAAATAATAAATTAAATCTGCTTTGAGGTTGCAACAATGATCTTCTAACTTTGGAATCTCTCAGCTTCCACAATAATTCAAGTGTTGGTTTTTTTTTTTTTTTTTTGTATCATTTGAGTCTCCTGGACCATTTGATGTCATGATGAGATTTACCAGACTCTACCACTAGAGAGAGACAACCGACCATTCTTATTAAGAAGTAATTTATCTTTTTATTCTCTTCCTTGGCAGTTCTCTGTTACCATTCCAATGATTGGCAGAATGCATGTGTAAATATGTTACTTGAGATCTGCTTAGACGAAGAGACAGCTGTAAAACAGAAGAATAAAGCCAAAGACCTCTGGTGCTCCAGAGACTCCAGATGGAGGTACGCTGAGCCCATGAAGTCATCCTGAAACCCAAAGTCGTAGTCAAACACCTACAGAGACACAACAAACAATGACTGTTGAGGAAAATCCATCATGAGAACATAACCAGTGTTATTAGAGTATATTAGTGGTTTTACTCCACAGAGATTTCTCCATGGGCACAAAATTAGAGAACAAGATCAAAGGAGGATTACTGATTTCTAAAATGAATTAAGTTTTGATCAAATATAATTTCAGACAGTTGAATGGTGATTATGCTTGATTAAAAATTGAATGGCCTGCATCTGATATAGCACCTACCAGAGGCCTAGAACCCCCCAAGGTGCTTTACAACACAAAATCATCGTTCATCCATTCACACACATTCAAACACTGATGGTAATGAGCTACAATGTGGATACAGCTGCCCTGGGGCGCACTGGCAGAGGCAAGGCTGCCGTACACAAGCACCATCGGCCCCTCCGCGTCCGACCACCACCTGCAGGCAATGTGGATTAAGTGTCTTGCCCAAGGACACAACAACAGCGTCAGACTCAAACTTGCAACTTACCGGGGCGGACACTTAACTCCTTCACCACCATTGCCCTAAAATGCCTTAAATGTCTATTTAAGAGGCCAGGAGAAGGAAATTCCAAAGGGTTTGTCTAATGAACTAAATTCTTAAACCTTTTCATCAGCGCTTATTCTTCATGAGACACCCAGAGAGTCACCAGAAGGGAACACTTTCACCAGATAATATAAAAACAGAAGTTTCCAAAGGCCTGACTCAGTGCTGAAACAGGTTATTACAAAAATTTGCTAAATACTGTTTGAAGGGTTGTTTTGTTTTGGCACTTTTTTTTTCCATTTGTTGGCAATTTTTTGTAAATGTTATTAATTAAATTAAATTAAATTCTGTTTGTATGTTTGAAGCCATGCAAAGGGGTTATAACCTAGCCAAAATAATGAAAACACACACACACACCCTACCTTGACATAAAGAGGGTCCCTCAGAGTTTCCACCAGGAGGGTTACTCTCTCGTCCCAAACCGGATTCAGATTTTTGTGGATGGTTTTGCTTCTGAACACCTCCTTTCCTGTTATCTTAAACTTCACATATGGGTCACTGGTCCCTGGGGAGAGGGGATGAATTCAGACAATTCTATTAGAAAACTAAAAATACCAGCTCAACAAGGTTGCACGTTACTTATGATAACCTTCTCAGTGGTCTAGTGTCCATCCCGGAACTGGGATATCAGGATTCAAATCCCAGTCGGGTCATACCAAAGACTTTAAAAATGGGACCCAATGCCTCTCTGCTTGACGCTCAGAGTTGGATTGAGGGGTTTAAATCACCATATAGGTCCCGAGTGCAGCCACAGCTGCAGCTCACCACTCCCCACGGCGATGGGTCGAATGCAGAGATGTCATTTCACCAGTGTGTGATGATGACTGACGGGTATTTGACTTTAACACTTTACTTCAAAACAGGAACATTTAGCTGACTAACTATTTCTGATTAAAAAGGTTTTAAACAGCTTTTTGGACTAAACCAGATGCTTTTTTAAACAAAATAAATGTATGCATGCTTTTAAATGCTGAGGAGTTTAATAGAGCTGCAGTTTTTTCATGTCAGACTACCCAATCAGACTATTTGACCACTAGATGGAGGTATTGGATCAATGTTCGGAATTTTTTTGCATGTTCTATGTTCTATCTGGTCTGTTATCCATCACCATACATAAAAACAACAATTGAAAGAAAATCTATATTCATGGAGGATCGGGTGAGTTGGTTTATTGAACCGAGGGACAGACATCTTGTAAAGTAGATAATCTGGCTTAGATGCTTTTGATATCTAAATGAAAGTGCCAGGTTAAAAAAGCAGTGAGTGTTTGTAACAGACTGTTTGCGTTCAGAGCTGTTTGTGCAGGACAGTTTAGTGGAGTTTACCCCACAAACTGCAGAATTTGTGATAATTTATCAAATAAAATCAAAGTTGGAAGTATAATAAGCACAACCTTCCAGTGGAAGCAGTGGATTTATGTGATTTTTTTAAATTTATTTATTTTATTTTTTTTTACAAAGAATCCTTTAAATCACTGAGGTGTTGATTTCCACTGTTACTAAAGTGAGCAGATAACAAACCATTCTTTTCAAAGAAATCCAATTAAAACAGATGGGATTCCCATACTCTAAGTGCATACAGGTTCCTGTGATTTATTCGTTTTACTGCTAAAATTTTGAAAAGATAAAATTTATTATCTGTACCGACTTTGCTCAGCTTGGCTGCAACAACAGAGGATAGCCCGAGTGTTTGCACTCTTCTCCTGAAATGCTAATGTCTCATTAGGCGTAAAACAATAGAGAATGACTCCCACAAAATGACTTTATTGGTTCTCATTAGAGACAGTAAAATAACAGTAAAGCCAAAAAAACATGCTGATTGTCAAAGACCTTTATAGGAATTATGTACTATACTGCTTTTGAGTCAAAAAAGTTGGAGAAATATCAAAAGTTTTACCCAGGATTTAAATGCTTGACACACTAAATATTGATTTATTAGTATTGCACGCATGTTTAAACAACATTCCTTTAGTTAAAACATGCTGAAATATCTGCTTCCTGCGGGAAAAGACATCCTAACTCTAACATCAAAACCTTCCTACTCATGTGCTGCTGAAGTCAAACAATCACATGTAAGGCAAGGTATTTCTATTGGGGTTGACAAGAGACACTAACTATGCAGTAGATGAATTAGTGTAATCTTCCCTGGCGATACGGTGCAGGACATACCTAAATCAATGCGAGCAAGCAGTATTTTTTGTTTGAGTAAAACCTTACCAACGGATAGCCATTAGGGTCAAATACCCTGGGAGTGCAGCTTCCAGCAAAATGACGAGCACATCAGACTCCCTTTCATCACTGACAACGAGTGAAGAGGTAAATGTGTAAAACAACAACATTTATGAATGGTGACATTTTTGTCACCATATGTTACAGTAAATGCATTTTGTCCTCACGGGCTTCCATAGTAGGAAAGACGGTGTCTAATATGGCGTTACCCAGAAACTTAGACCTGCTCTCATGTATTTGAGACCAATTGTAATGGTTATATGTTACGCAGCCGCCAATTTTTACCAACACCTGGGGGCATAATTTAATTCATTTTCAGCAACATTTGTATGGATTTATTCAGATATTAATGGTAAAAATGACATATTGTCTCTTTATTGTATAGATTGGACATCTTAAATCTAAAAGGGAAATTTTCAAACTGAATTTTTGACAGAATCAGCCATCCTTCAAAGAAACAGGAAGTCTCTGGCTGTCTTTCTGAGCTTCAGTGGGTCAATATTCCCCCAGGCACACATCACTGACTCAGAGTCTCTGCATCCCACAGAGGTACAGCTTTATGGGGCCATAATGCAGACAGGCTGAAAAGTATGAAGTGGAAAAGCTGAGGGTGTAGGAGGGTGATGGCTGAAAATAAGGGAATGTGGATTACAGTGCAGAGAAGTGATGGTGGAAGTGCCTTCTAGGAAATCAACCACCTCTGTGCGTGACAAGTCATATATATTTTTAAAAGATGTCACACATTTTGGAAGCGCCTTTCAGAGACAAGTGATGTACAGTTTCTACCAAATTAAGACAGCTTGGTGGATGGGTCAATGAGACACAGACACTGTAAAATCAATAGGCTCAGAAATAAGTAATCGCTGACGTAAATACCTGAAACCAGAATAATGGACTACTGCACCTCGGGCATGAGGGCACAAGACCATGAAATGGAAGCTTCGAATGTAACAAGTACACGTGTCTCCTGGTGATACACCTGCAGGGGATTGCAGGTGTGGTAGGTGTCGATCTGAAGTCGTGGGAAATACGTTTTTTGAGGGGAAGAGGTACCTAAGCCATGACTATGGTGGACTGAAACAACAATCCAGATCTGGAATATCTCTCTCTTTCTGGCCGTGTGCATTAGCGTGGAGGGGTGAGGGGGTGTTGCTGTCAGGAAGAAAAGCATCTCTAAGGAAGGGGGCACCGACAATGCACAAAGCACATCCACCGGCCTTAGAGCACACCGACCATTCTGGGTTTCTCCAGAACTCAGAGATTGCCAGTCTGCCTCTGGACATGACCCAAGAGTCCCAAACATCTGATTTGGGAGATACCTGGCTGTCACCCTTTTCAAATACAACAATTTGATTGGTTATAGTGGATCAAAATAGTAAAAAATAAAAATAAAAAAAGTAAGTGACATGGAAAAATTAACCAACCAAACAGTGTTGCATGGATAAGTAGATCATGTCTATATTGCGCCCGTTGGTCCAAGACCAGTTCTGGACTTCTATAGGACATGCAAACTAAGTTTGATCATTGGAAGACTATCTATGATGCCACCTGAACGTCCACAGCTCTTCTGTTTTGTGGAGTCCCGCAGGGTTCCATTCTCTGTAGCCTGCATTTTTCGCTTTATTTGCTACCACTAGGTGCCATTTTAGCTCGGTAACACCTGTCCTTCCACTTTTACGCTGATGACCTGCAGATTTGCATGTTTTTAAAACCCGGCAAAAGCAATGCTCAACATCTGCTCACTGACGGCCTTTCTGCAGTGAAACTGTGCTTAAATCAGAACTTTTTGTTCATGAATGAAAAGAAGACTGAGTTCATTACTCCACTCTTGTCTGCCCTCCATTGGTTGCCTGTTCATTTTCAAATAGATGTTAAGCTCTTATAGTTTGTTTTTAATGCTCTTAATAGTTTGGCCCCATTCTACGTCTTAGACTACCAGCAGAAGATCCCTACGGCCTTCAACCCAGTTTCTTTTAAACCTTCCAAAAACAAGATATAAACACTGGGGCAAACAGGCTTTCTGTGTAGCAGCACCCCGACTGTGGAATCAGCTCCCTCCAGACTTACGCTCCATCTCTGACCCTGGCCTTTTTAATAGCTAACTTTAAACTTTTTATTCAGGAAAGATTTTAATGCACAGTAATGAGGACTTTTATTATAGATCCTATCTCATCTGGCCTTCTCACCTGATTTGTGTGTTCTTAAGATTTTCTTTTGATTTTTGTTCACCAATGAATGAATGAATGAATGAATGAATGAATGAATGAATGAATGAATAGGACGTGAAGAACTTGGATATTGGGTCAAGTTCTTCACATCATGGGCACATCTAGCATAGGTGCAGGAAATTATATAGAAATATAATTGCCCACTGCGCAAAAACATGTGGCAATGGCATCTTTTCCAGGTCATTGGTAGACATCCAGATTCTTAAAGGTGCAGACTGGGATGCCAGATGACACCTTTTCTTTGATGTCTTCTGGACGTTGTGTAATGATGTCGCCGGGGCCTACATATATGGAAATGAGTTCACTGTGGACATCTTTCCTACGTAATCCCACCAAACTATCAACGTCACATGAACATGCAGATCTTGTCTATATTTGGTCTGTTGGTCCAAGGCCAGTTCTGGACTTCTATGGGATGTGCAAATTAGGTCCACTATTTGGACATCTATCTATTACCCCACTTGGACGTCAATATGACACTAAACATTTGTTCCTCAGGTGAAGGAATTTTTTGGACGTCATGGACAGGTACAGCACAAGTACAGGAAACTAGATAATATAGGTTGTTTCTGGACTGTTATTTATTTATTTATTTATTGCCTGAAGGCCTTGTTCTTGTCCTGACTTTTGTCATGTACCATTTTACTATGTTTTCCTAAACAAAAAAAAAGTAATTAAGAAAATTCCTCTTTTCAAGCTGAAACCCTGCCAAAAACCCAGAGCTCCTCTTTGAGTGTGCCTGCAATTGCTCAAGATTTCAACAGCCAGACAGAGCAGACAGGCTTCAGTTTCATGTGTCAAACACAGGTTAGTTTTCAGGTTATGGCCACCCAGACAGAGTAAATGGCACCTTTCAGGGAGCTTATCTTTCAAAAATCCTGAGATTATCCAACAAGAAATGTCTTTTATAATAAGTATTCTCTGTCCTGCTCTTCCTAAAAACTACCCAGGAGTAAGAAAAGCCTCCTTAGATCCTGATGCACAGTAGTGCATAAGAGGAGCCTTGAACAAAAATAAATCTATTTATGAGACTGCACAGCAGCGTGCAC